GCCCCAATCCTGCACTACTGCATGCTTTGAAGCGCATCAAAGAAGAGGATAAACACTCAGAAAATGGGTCAGTATTGGTTTAGTTTGATCAGGCTGTGTGTAAGCTCACAGCCAATCAAAAAACGTTTTTAAATTCAAAATTTTCAGCATAACAGGAAATTTGCCTAAAATTTTAAACGATTGACAATGAAAAGAAATTTTGTTCTCTTTACAGACGGAACAATGTCAAAACATCAAGGTCAAGAAGCAGAGGCAGGTAAGCATCTCATCAATTGCATCAGTTTTTGGAACGCATCAAAAATAATTCCAGAATTTATAATGCTGAGTATGTTCATAACACTCAATATTTCAAACTTTTGATCTTCCATAGGTCCTCATCGAGTAGGAGTAACAGCAAAAGCCCCAGGAGAAGTAGAAGACACAGCCGATCTCGATCTCCCCCCTCCAAGAAACATAAAAAGGACAAATATATCAGCTCATATGACCGTGATCGTTATGTGTCTTCAAAAGATCACAAACATTCCCATAAAAGGAAAAAACATTCACGTTCCCGGAGCGTGAGTCCGTCCCCGAGTAGATCTCCAGACCGTTACAAGTCGTCCAGCAGGAAAAAGTACTACAAAGACAAGGACCATTACTATTCCCCCGAAAGACATTCCACAAAACGCAGGAGAAACGGCCACTCAAGTCCAGGAAGGGAGCGCTATGATAAATATAGACGATAGCTAGAGAATATGTCGAATGGGCATTACATTAATGAAAACTGTCTTTTGCAATATTGATTTTCCTCCTCAAGTGCATTTTTATCAATGAGTGCATATTTTTGTTGAGTTTTATGAAAGATAGGTTATTTTGCATTGTTTTGTAATTGAAAGAAATTCTGATTTAAGATGTATGCGTATGAATGACATTTGTCTCATTTTATTGAAGGCAGGTTAAATTATGCATTGTTTTGTATTGAAAGAAATTCTGATTATACATTGTATGTGTGTGGATGAAATGGAGATGCTTGTATGGTATTAATTGTGTTGCAGTCAGACTACAATTAAGGATTACCATTTATATATCTGTGATACTGTTTGTTTGAAAGTGGAAGAATGCTAATAAGAATGCCTTAATTTTTATCAACTGCAGGGATTTTGCAGAATCATGTACTGTACATAAGATCTGAAATTTTGTATTATTTAAAAAATTGGATAGCTGATGCTATTGTGGATGAATAAAGAAATATTTTAATGACCATTGTTCCTGGTCTTAAATTATCACAAGTGGTACCTGTTTGTTAAGAATTTTAAAATCTATAATATGAGGTCACCACAATTAATTGTCCTCTAAAAGGTCCAATATTTTACTTTGGATTTATCATTGTCAACAAGAGTTTGAAAGAAAATTGAAAAAAAAAATGGTATTGAAAAGTTCTATGAATTTGAAACAAGTAGTTGGGACATTGAAAACAAAAAATCAAGAAACTGCATTGCAAGCCAAGCATATCCTCTTAACCCTGAGGGTTTAAAGGGGCATGGACACAGTTTCAACTGATTTTTAAACCAATTTTACTGTTTACAATTTCTAAGACAATTCTAATGATCAGCAAAAATTTGAACATCATTTGCTGATTTACAATAGAGATACTGGACTTTAAATTCTTCATAATGTGAACAAGAATCGTGCCTTGTTTTTGTTTACATATGGAAAATATCATATTTTTAACAACATGAAATTCAGCAAAACACTGGAAACTGTCTAAACGTATTAAGAATTTAAACTATTTTAATGAAATTATCTGCTTTAAACGGATATTTTTTGGTATAATAACCTATATGTAAACAAAAGTATGACACTAACCTTGTTTACATAACAAAGGTTTGGAGCTCTAAATCTGTCTTGTATCTAAACTAATGAAGTTCAAATTTTTAATGATCATTAGAAATACCTTAGTTAAGTATTTGTAAAAATAATAAAAAAAAAAATTGAATATTTTTAGGTGAACTGTCCATGCCCCTTAAATTTTGAATCTGAAAGCAAATATCAGATGTTCGTTTAAAGTTTAACAGTTTAAAGTTGCCTGAGTGGCGCATTGGTAAAATGTCTGCTCTAGAGTGAATAGTGATCAAAGAGTTCAGTTGAGTCCAGACCAGTTTTAGATGGACAAAAAGGGGGTGAAAGCCTGTGAAACTCGGATGACGTCCAATGCCCTTCGCATGACTTGACCAAATTTTGAATCCTAAGATTTCATGTGAGCTAAAGACAATCTGTACTTATTTTTGCTATTTATTTAATACTTCATATTTTCATTTTCTTCCCTAATACAATTGGAAAATTGTCTAGAATTAACACAAGTACTACGTTAGTATGTAATCATCTAAGGTTGTGCAGATTCAAATCTGTTCAGATTACCGACATGCCCCTTCCTCCTGAAGTATGATGGGGCTTCGAAAGGGTAACAAAGATTCCCATCGAAAGATATAGTCGTGCACTGCATTTTAAATAGTAATATTAAAATTCCTTTAAACTTTAGATTTAACTGGTCTATTGGGGCTCGACTGTGTCTATAATATTTGGACAAAAATATGACGAAAATATTTTTAAAATCTGCCATAGAAGAGCAAGGCCAATGTGACTCAGTTTAGCGATCTGGATTAATTCTAATATCTTTGTTAATCTTTTTAATTATACAATTCTTAAAAAAAAAAAATTTTTGACTAAGATTTTATATTTATAATGCAATATCCATTTGAATAAAAAGATGTAAGCGATCAAGTTCGTTATAGATCATGAGCAGCGAGTTATTTTGTACTTTCAACATAATTTGAAGGTGTTAAAACATATTTTTTCTATAACATGATCTTTGTAGATTGCCATAGTTCACTGCCATAACTAAGTAAACTTCCTCCATAAATATCATTTCGTTACTGTAATGTTACTGACACTAGTAATCACAGGGGAATCGGATGAACACCTTTAAAGTTAGACAAAAGTGTCTTACCAGGAAAATACAAGGCATAGATATACCAGCACGGCGTACTTCCACGAAGTCTTTTTTGTATTATGTACCACTGACATCGATTGAATCGACGGAGTGACGGATAAGTGGGTACCTCAGAAGATGGCTCTCGGTTCTCAGGAGCTTTAAAGCAGCATTGGTTTGTACAGCGGAGGAACGACGCTGCAATTACCGTTGACGTCAATCGTGGATGAATTCAAGATCAGACAGTATCCGATGTTACGCGACAGTAATGATGTCAAAATATGGGAGGCAAGAGCTAGTGAACATCAAGACGGCCAGAAAGTGCTCAGCAAAGAAGACAGTACAAGAAGCAGAGTCACGCCTTAGGCAAGCCAACATTGTGAGAAGCGTGGCAATAGGCAGGCAGGAGAAAGGAAAAACACCATTGACAAGATGGGGTACATCGTCAGAAGTGGAGAGGAGGCAATTTGTGCAGAAAGAAGTGCGGAAATGGAAGAGCGCACACGAATGGCGAAGGTAGTTAATAAGAAGCAGGGAAGCTGGTTAAATTGGGAAGGAGCCCGGCAGAAGTAATTTTGGAATGAGATCTGGAAAACAGAGCCCCAGAGACTACAGTTCCAGCTTAAGTTGGTTTATGACGTGTTGCCAGCGCCAACCAATCTGACGACATAGGGCATGAGGGACGATCCAAACTGCAATCTTTGTGGTAGACCAGCCAACCTGGAAAATTTCTTCATGTTCAGTATAGCCTTAACTGATGGAAAATATGCATGAAGACACGACGAAGTTTTATCTGGAAAAAACAAGGAAGAAACCTCGGAAGACCAAGGAATGCTTGAAGATTGTAAACTTTGCAAAGACTGGTGAACATAGTCGTGCTGCGGAAGTGGTAGGGGTGTGGACTGTTGGGGACCGCCAGTGACTGGGAAATGCACGCAGATTTCAATGGCCGTATATCGGTGCCGCAGGAAGAGCATTTATACCAATCAGAGACCAGATTGTTATTTGGTCTCCTGCATCCCGGTTTATTATTTTACTGGAACTAACAGTGGCTTTGGAGGACAGCATTGAAGAAGTCCACGAGCGGAAAATGAATACTAGTAATTACAAGGATCTGGTTGCAGACTGTTAACAACGAGGCTGGAGAGTATGGTGTCTCCCGGTGGAATTTTGATGCCGTGGATTTGTAGGGCAATCTATGTGGAGGGCCTTACAAATTGTCAATGTTCAGGCACTGAAAGATGGCAACTCACTGTACTGCCGGGCAGAGAGGCAGAGGTGGCATCCATGTGGATATTGAAGAAGCGAGAAGAGTAATGAAAAGTGCAGCACTTCGTTCGAAGACTCTATGTATTAGTGAATAAATATTCAACTTGTTGCAGTGAAGGCGGAGAGCTGAGTGGTTCTCGACTGGGACTTGATCATCCCAGTCGGCATACCTCTGGAGGTTGTAGTGGACAACGCCGAAACAACATCGAAGGAGGATCCACCTGATGACGGGACCATGATGCAACAGCTTATACCATCAAGATAGATACAGGTATTCAAATTAAATTTAAACGAATGTCACATTTAAATGCACCAGCTTACATAATACATGTATAGTCAATATCACTAATCATGGTCCTTGTGATATTACCCTAAAAATGTCGATCTACCTATTGTGGCTCCAGTCTACTTAAGGAGAGGCCATGATTGGAACAAACCTAATTAATACTTATATGAAAGCTTGTACTAATGCATAATCTTTTCTAGACCAATACCTCTTATCAAAATACAATTTTAACCACCTCTCTTAAAAAAATCTCACTTATTTGTTTACTTCCTTTGAAAGAGAACAAGATCCATCATTGGAACAAATATGAGTTCCCTTTATCCAACAGTGCTTTGTTGCAAGTTTGGTTAAGTTTGGACCAATGATTCTGGAGAACAAGTTGAAAATAGGTAAACATGTATAAGATACATGTATTGACATACCACCGGAGTAACTCAGAAAATGATATATTTCAGAGAAGAAAACAGTCGAAATGATTGTCAAAATAATATTTTATTACATATAATTTATAACCAGGCTAATAAAAATCTTCACACAGTTGTTTTGTTGACCACGGAATTTTCAGTCCATCAACATTTTCCTCTCTTAACAACAGCCACATCCCTAAAACATATCCATGTATATTTAAACAGTATTATAAGCATCAGCGAAAATTGGTATAGTCAGAGAAAAATTCATGATTGTTGCAATAACTTATTTCCTAATTATGATTCGAGAATGACTTTTTAAACATATAATTTGTCAATATATTATATATTACAAAATATCACATGCTTGTAATAACTACATTTCCTTAATGGCAGAGTTCTTTAAGCGAATATAACCTGTTTATTTTGGTTACAACTTACATGGGAACTGAGTGAAGTGCTTTTTTAATTCTCAATATTACTATGCAGATAAAATCACAAAGTAATTTTAATTTTTTTAATTAAATTTTAAGGAAATAAAATACTTTTAGTATACATACTCGCACTTTGCGGTGCACTCATTAGAGTAAGTTTTCCCATCTTCTCCACACACAGGCTTGTAAATTCTAGTACACTTACAGGGACACTTTCCTTTGGAAGCCACTTCAACGCCACTTTTAAAATTACAGTAATTACATATTATGACTGAGTGAGGGTAATATATAATGAAAACTTATATTATGAGTCTATTATCCGTTTTATGAGTAAATTACATGAATACTAATTCACACTTGGCAGTGCAATCCTAGAGATCATGCAATTATTATTGTCAAAGACATATGCATATATTATAAACCTTCAATTGTCACAAAGGTCATGCTTTTAAGAATTGAATATATAGGTTTTGAAATAAAGGTACAGGATACATACTCGCAGTTAGCTTGGCACTCGTTGGAATAAGTTTTCCCATCTATGCCGCAGACGGGTGTGTAATCCATCGTACATATACAAGGGCATTTGCCTTCAGAGACTACTTTGACTCCACTGTTAAAATAATTCAATTATTCTCCTTTTAATATTAGGACATAATTAAACAATTTTTAATACCAGTAATAAAATTCTTATTAACTCTAGATATAAAATGAGACTACTTACTCGCACTTGGCCGTGCATTCGTTAGAGTAGGTCTTCCCGTCCACTCCACAAACAGGTCTGTAGATGAAGGGACAGGCACATGGTTTTGGGCATGCTCCTTGAGATGCAATTTTCACCTCCCTATACGTAAAACATTTTATATAATACTCAACAGGCGATTTTTTTTTTTTTTTAAAAAGTTTAGTTGTCACCTCCCTATCAACTGATTAAAAAAGCTCGGCTCATCTTTTTCATCCAAGGAAACGATTACTTTTTTAAAATCCCTTCCGATTTTTTTCACCCAACCAAAAACCAGTTTAACTTCGCATTTGCAAGAAATGTTTTGATAAATAAAATTTCCCTTCCTACCTACTCAATTTATTTATCCTGAGTCGGGAGAGAGCAAACTAACATTTTTTAAAAGATGGTCCAATATAGTTACAACCATCATTTTATGCTATATATACCAGTACTTCATGTTACTCTTAAGAACTCTTTGGAGAAGGAAATACAAAAGATGCAAACTTATGAAGCAAAATTGAGTTGAACATAAACACCTACGCGCAGTTAGCTGTGCACTCGTTAGGATAGGTTTTTCCGTCATCACCACAGACTGGTCTGTATTCCTTTGTACAAACACAAGGGCACTTTCCCTCAGAGGCGACATCAACTCCTCTACATAAAAAGGTAAAAATAGATATAAAAATAAAACGAGGACCAATTTTCAAATAGTATTGATATTTCTGTATTAAAGGGCTACTCACTCGCACTTAGCAGTACAGTCATTAGGGTACGTCTTTCCGTCAACACCACACACAGGTCTGAAAATTAAGGGGCAAGCACATGGCTTCGGGCATTCTCCTTCAGATGCAATTTCAACATTCCTATACAAGACATATAAAAGTATTCACTAAAAATATAATATTTAAATACTACATGTATTTTTTTGTAGTATAAAGTACCCTCTTTGATATGACGTTGGATAAATTGATAGTAAATGTACTCACGCTGCTTTAGCGCCACAAGCGTTTCCATAAGTTATTCCATTGACACCACACACTGGCCTATAGTCGGCTGTACATAATGATGGACGCGGACATTCCCCGACACTTAATAATTTGACGCCTCTGGAAGACAACAATTTAGAATTTTATATATGAGCCAAAACTACATTCACTTAACGAATTAACAAAAATGTCAATACATTTAATTTTTTAAATCGATATTCTATTTTTTACGCACTCTTCCTAATGCTAAGAAATGTATTATTTTTTAGGTCAAAATCTTTTCATTGAAGAAAAAGTATAATGCTACTCACTCGCATTCCATTAGACAAGCATTGTCGTACGTTCGACCATTCTCTCCACAAACTGGTTTTAAAATCCTAGGACAGGGGCAGCTTCTAGCCGAGACAACGGCATAACCCGATAAACACACCAACAAAATGGAAATAGCCTTCATGTTTTGGGCTTAAAGAAATTATCAACGGTATGAACGAAATTTGTTTCCTTTAAAATTCTGATACTACAGTTACTGTGGAAATATACTATTTACAGGATGGGATTTTTAAAAATAAAACTTTTAGCACCACTTTTCAGGTTTTTTCGACATAATTAAGATTCACAAGAGTTTAAAATTATTTACATTACTTAAACAAAGCCTTTGTATTAGTTCTGTAAACTTTACACTTACACAAATGACAATATCGATATGTCCTGTCCAGTGCAACTTCTAAACAATGTGAGGAAATTGCTGACTGTTTTCGCTATATATAGCAGCATGATGTCAAGATATGTGATTATTATTTAATACTCGATTAATACAACACATGTTTACTAATCTTAATTATCATTAACGGTTCATCTGCAGCCCTACCTGTACTAGCCCGGGGATATGCAAACAGCTGTAACAGGTACAGGTTATGAATATGAAAAATATACAATAGACATTTAATAAACGATAATAATATGATAATGATTAATGATAGATATTAGATTTTATTTAGATTATTTCAAGATTAAAAAAATAACATATACTGCAAATATTTATTGCTTTTAAGAATTCAATTTCAAATAATCATTATTAGTTAAATAAATAAATATATTAAATCTTTGGTTTCCATGCTTAGTTATCATTATTTATCACAAAATCATGGTATTCAAAACGGGAGCATGAATCTGAAATGCATGAATTTAATTTTAAAAAGATATATTCAATGGTGTAATCACGATTGTAAATACATCATATGTACATGTAGTAATTAAAATAGAAACAACAGGCATAATATGTCTTCTTTACTAATTTCTTGTCTCAAGTAATGGCAAAATGCAATGAAAATAGACTTTTTATTATTTTTTTTCAATTGGCATTAAATGATACGATTGGTATTAAATTTGAATTTTCTTTTTAAAAAATCGTACAAATAAAAATAACATACGTAGTTTATGTATGTGTTTAATGTTAGTATCACCTGTTGTATCGCCAGAGGATTGGTCACTTTAAATCGATGACGTCCGAGATTGCATATATAATTTTGGGGGAATGTGAAACACCTTTGTAAAATTAACTTAGCATAGATATTTTGGACTAAATAATGATTAGTTTGTTAGAGAAGGATTCAGATAGGGATGTATATATATTTTTTAAAATTTGTAAATGAACAGAGATATGGCATGTCAACTTTCTTTAGTCGATCTTTTCCATTGATATTGTACAATTTCTATTCTTATTGTAAAATTTTCCATTTGAATTGTATGTATAAGTTTTATTTGTATTATATATAGTTTCCATTTACATTCAAAAATTTTCTTCTTGAATTTTATATTTTATTTGTAGTCTTGTAATCTTTTCCATTTGTGTTGTATAACAATCCTTTGAATTATTTGGAAAATTTTCTTACTTGTAGCTTAAATTTTCCATTTGCAATGTTTCATTATATTTATAGTATTATTTCTTATTTGTATGTGGTAATTTTTAATTTGTATTGTATCCGAGCAAAACAAATAAACAATTTCACGGATAGCCTGAAGCTTAATTTTTAATTTATATAGACAAGAAGTATAACATCAACAAAGTTCATCAAGAAGTATAACATCTGTTTCACTGTTATTCTGTTTGTCAGTTTGTCCAAAAAAACTTCTATCTTGCCCATATCTTTTGAATGTCTGGTACTATGACTTTCATTTCCACACGTGTCTATCTTGTCTTTTGAAAGGACCTTTCATTTGATAACAACAAATTCGATCTTTTGACCTTGGAGATTGAACTACGTTTGCAAAATTTTACCAAGCTTTAACCATGGCCATTTCTTTTGAACAATTGGTGTGAGGGCTTTAATGTCTCTTCCATCTAGTCAGTCATGTCTTTGGGTACCATCGTATTTGACCTTGGCCATAACATTTGGACGGTTTGTCCTAGGAGGCAAAATTTATAACACCCGTCACTGTAACAAATTTTACAAATTTTCATTCACAAAAATTACACATCCTTTGAAAAACTTTTGAAAAACTTGCTCTTGAGCTGTTTTACAGGGACATCTATGTTTCACAAACACACATTGTTCCTGCGTGTTTTTATCCATTTCCTCCAAAAAGTTGAACATTTACACGTGTATGAGACGAGAAAAGCAAAGACAATGACAAACCTTTTTTGCTCTCACAAAACTGGTAACAGTTGTTGGGAAGAATAAATATTATTATCACAAACAGATGACAATTCGCATTGATTAAGTGGCGTAATTTAAACCACGAGAACAAAATCTCTCAGTTTTCTTTATCAAATGTTTCTTATTTGTACTATTGAACCAGATTCTCAAATACGCATTCGAATTTCATAATACAGCCTTATAATAATACGGTAATTATGATTCCAAATACAATAGAATAGATAATGAAAATCATCACCTATTTCTTAAAGTTAAATAGTGAGTCGTCATCATCTTGTTTCTTTTAAGGTAAGTGTACCTAAAGCTCCCTTTATAAGGACGAAATTCTTCAAAATCACATGTCAGTTTTGAATATTTCTAATATTCCCAAGGCCAACATAAATTCAAATTAACATATCTATATTGGATTCCAAAACTTCATAAAAAATCCTTACAAAGATATATCGCGGGTTCCTGTAAACGTTCTACCAAGCCTCTTTCTTTACCCCTCACTATCATATTAGCAGTTGTGAAGGAGAAACTTCAGGCATACTGTGCAACAATATACATAAATTTTCGAAAAGTGTTGTTAATCAGATATGGATACTTCAACGTTCCAATGAACTTCTGGAAAATTTGAAATCATAAGATTTTACAAAAATCAACAGCTTAAAAACTTTCAATTTTCAATTTTATACACAACCATTTTCCACCACAAAGAAAACTCCTGGCTTTTTGATGTCATCGAGAGCTGCTATTTCATTAAAATGGAACTCTTGAATTTACTTCCCTTGTTATTAATCATTTGCAAAATTATTTTGTTAAAACCAATTTCATTGTACACGGAATTACTCTGAAGTTGATATCAAAAAGATCCTTTCTAATTGACAATATCTATGTGGTTTTCTATGTGGAAGACCAAGTGTTCGAACATTCTATCGGAATTCCCATGGATACCGTTTGCGCCCCGTTATTAGCAGACCTATTTTTGTATTCATATGAAGCTGAATTTGTGCAAAATCTTATGCGTGAAAAGAAGAAAACACTTGCTGTGGCCTTCAGCTCGACATTGAGATACTAGTATATCGACGACGTACTGTCAATTAACAATGGTAATCTCCATTTTTATGTCGATATGTTATATCCTGGTGAGCTTGAGATAAAAGAAACCACAGAGTCTGACACAACTGTTTCATATTTGGATATTTTACTTGAAAAAGACGTTAGTGGTAATCTAACAACTAAGTTCCAACCCTAACCCTGATGATTTTAATTTTTCTATCGCCAACTTCCCTTACGTATGCAGCAATATACCTTCATCGCCTGCACATGGAGTTTATAGATCTCAATTGATTCGATACGCAAGAGCATGCTCTACGATGAACAATTTCTAAAACGAGGTAAATTATAGACAAACAAGTTGATGAAACAAGAATATCAGAAGTCTCGTTTAAAGTAATCATTTCGTAAATTCTAAGTTCGATAAAACGACCTCGTCAGCAAATACAATTTATCATTGAGTCAAATGCTGACTGACGTTTTTCTTTCTAATTGTTAGTCCATTATTTATACACTGAATTGACGACGGATTTTCCGTTATTTCTTGATCATGGCAAGGAACACACTGCGGGTGTGACCGGTTGGCAGGAGATGCTCACTCCTAAATGGCACCTGTTCCCACCTCTGATGTTTTGGAGGTCCATGTTTGCTCTGCTCCTACTTTGTATTGTTTTATGGACTTTTAATCTTGAATACTGTTCGTTATCTCCATATGTTTCATTCCAACATCTTATACGTGAAAAGAAGAAAACACTTTCTGTGGCATTCAACTCGACATTTAGATATATCAACGAAGTATTGTCAATTAACGATGGTTATTTCCATTCTTAAGTCGATATGATATATCCCAGTGAGCTTGAAGTAAAAGATACAACAGAGTCTGACACATCTATTTTATATTTGGATATTTTACTTGAAAAAGACAATAATGGTAATCTAACAACAGGCTTTATGATAAACGCGATGACTTCAACCATGCATTCATTAACTTTCCTTATTTATTCAGCAATATACCCTCATCACGTGCAGACGGGGTCTATAACTTTATCTCTCAATTTATTCGATTCGCAAGAGCATGCTCTGCGAATGTACTACCGGTATTTCTTAAACGAGGTAAATTATTGACAAGTTGATGAAACAAGAATATCAACAGTCTCATTTAAACAAAAGTCACCATTTGGTAAGTTCCATGGTCGATATAATGGCCTGTCAGCAAATACAAATTACAATACTCCAATTTGGTATTGTTAAATGGTCTTTTGAGCTTGAATACTTTGTTACTCGATAGGTACTCTGTGTTTTAATGTAGGATTACCCCAAAAAGAAACCTCACAACAGAATCAAATTTCCCCTACTTCCTCAGAGTAGGATTAAAATTACCCCTTTTTTATCAATGCATACTTTAATATACTATTTTGTGAGTATTGGATTCAAGTAGTTTTTCAAAGGAAAAAGGGGTTGAAATAAACCCAAATGATAGAAAAATGATTCCATGGAACTGGTTGCCAATTTGACAAAGCATATTTGTGTCGCCTCCTTTCTTTCATACGTGTACTTTAGTGTGGAAGGCATGGAATTTTTAATGGGTATATTTGGCCTTGGGGAAAATTACACTCTGTAAGTATTATGCTGAGAAGGACCCCACTCCCGAAGGTTGAATTTGATGTAGGGCTTCAACACGGGAAATTCTACTCAAAAATCTTTTTCCATGTGAGGAAATTCTGCTTTGGAGCGAGGTATCAGCCGCATATGGGTTTTTGCATGCCTCGCAACATGTCTTACATATATATAATAAAATATACCATAGAAGACATTTAGGAAGTAACATATAGTGTTGAGATAATGTGTGTTTTTTTTATTAGTTATGTTTTATATATGTGTAATCATGGCATTTCGTGATATTTTTGCCTGAATAAAATCAAACGAAAATTTCCAAAGAAAAATTCTTTCCTTATTCAATTTCCCGCCTTTGCTTCAAAATGCCATTTTAATTAAACTTCAATCTTTTTCAGGTTAAAATAAATATTAATGTATATTAATTTTCTATTCCAGAGGAATAAGTAACTCTTTGCAAGCCTTGAATCGATTGCACTTTATGTTTGAGAAGCAAAGTGCAAAATCATGAACGTAAATTGACTTATAGATGAATAATTATCTGTATATTCTAAACAACCCAATTTTTTTTTGTTTGAAGAACAGAGAACAAAAGGAACAAAACAAAAGCTGTACATAGTGTCTGTGTTGACTTAATATAATTGTAACAGAAACAAGATTTTAGCACAGGACATTTGGAAATCTTTTTACCGAGCTGAGGGAATGTAGATAGTTCCTCCGTTTTCTTAACAAGCGCCTTCGCTGGCAACAGCCACATTCCTGAAATATCCACAGACATTGAATCAAAGAACGCGTCACAAGTTTTATTAAAACATATACTTAACCTTTACTGCGTGTGTAAATCATTATTTTATGAGCAAATCATCTCATATTACAAATAAATTTAAGAAAAAGTGCTATATTTGAGAACAATAATTGATACGTACTCATTTTCAGCTTGGCACGCATTGGAATAAGTATTTCCGTCCTCACCACAGACTGGCGCGTAAAGGTTAGGGCATGCGCGGGGACACCTACCCTCAGACGCTACTTCAACTTCCCTGGAAAAAAGAAGAAATTTAATTTTT